GGCCCGAAACGTCAGCCTTTCTGCTCCTAGGATGCTGCTTGGCCTGCTGTGTTCATCCAGCCCTGCACCTTGTTGTCTCGGATTCTCCAGCATCTGCAGTTCCTACTATCCTTGATTAAACGTATTTCCTTGTTTGTCACCAAAATGAGTAGATCGTCATCAAAGTGAATACAGTTTTGGTTTTCACCATTCTCATAAATTAGAGGATAACTGACACCCATATACTGACAATCAACAGTTTCTAGAGAAACAGAATCGGAAGGGAAAGTTTAACAAGAAACGAAGGCAGTTTTCCACTGTTTTTAAAGTTGAAGTCACAATCAGATATATGTCATTGCTGCTGTAATAAGACTGAAGACTACTGATTTGTTTTCAAAGAAGGGATAGAATTTAAAAAATGAAAAGATCTGGTTACCGTGATATGGAAATGTGAGCATACTTGAGAGGGTACAGCATGAATTGAAAATCCAAGTTATAGGCAAGATTAAAGAAATGCCTGTTTTTCATATTGGTAAAGAAGTCAAGATGATTCAACAGATTTAAAGTTATAAAAATGATATTGTATTGAAAATGTTCCAAATTATCAACACTAATTTAAAAATAGGTATAATTTGACCAAAGCAATAAGAAACTAGAAGTTTCTTGGGTATTTTGTTAAAATTTTTGTGTACATAGGGTAATAAATGTATGGAATAAGTGACAAGGGAAGACCATTGAGACAGCTCACGCAAAAATGAGCCACATCGCTGTCCCAAACGAGCAGAAAATCAGGGACTGTTTGGCTGAGAAGGCAAGTTAAAAAGAGGCAAAGAGAATTGGGTTAATTTCTTTCCCTGCTGCTAAAATATGCATGTTCCTAACTACGCTGACACTTCCTTTGTGTTAGAAACTAAATATTGTGTTTTCTTATATGGAATATTTCATCCAGATATTTCAGAAGCAAATAGCAAAAGTAAAATTCACCATTCTCTCATTATGTTTTAACTTATATTTTTCTCAATTCATGATTTTCTTTTGCTTTGCTTTCATTTCATTTCTAATTAAATTGTTCATTCTTTATTTGGTATTAAATTTATGTGGGAGCACTAACCCACTGCTCAAAATGCTTGTAACGTAATTTTGTTTTGTGTTTTTTTTCTAGAGAGGTTTATCATTTGTTAACCCTTTTTATTCCGTTCACATGCAGTTAGCTGCACAAGAGGAGCAGTTAAGGATAGAAGAAGAGGCATTTTATGCTGCACAGCGTGAAGCAGCCAGGGCAGCAAAGCAGAAAAAGCTTTTGGAGGTGAGGGCATGAAGCCCATGTTTGGTTATGATCCGCAAAATTACTTGCACATCTCTTGATTACAAGCTTTATTTTCCCCAACAGCAAAGCTTTATCTAGTTGTAGAATATACTCAAAACATATTGACTGTGCTCCGATTAATTATTATTTATAAATACGCAGCTAGAAGTATTTTCATTTGGGACAAATTATCACTATTAGTGCATTGACATTGCCATTGACATTCCTGCAACTTGATGCATGAAGAAGAGAATAACTTTTTATTTTGAGGTGGTCAGTCTGGGTACAGTCAAAATGTTGGAACCATTGAAGTTGAAATGTTGGATTTCACATTAGCCACAGTATAACTGGGTCTGATGCAAGCCAACTTTTCAAACTTAAATTTATTTGGATTACTATAATCTGCTAGACAGCTTTTTTAAAGTTTTACTCCGTGTTAGCATCAACATTTCATTGAAGCTGTAATGCTGGTGAACAGCGCATTGTTTAAGAATTTGAAAGTATGCAGTACAGAGCTCTCCTTTGCCTGACTAAACAGCAGGTGTATAATGTCTAGTACAGTTGTGCCACCAAATCGTGCATCTGCAAAAAATCTATTTTATGTTTAGAGTTTCCAGGTTAAGTAACCAGTTCACTTAGAGAGTTACTACCAACCTGTATACACATTCTTATTTGATAGCTTTGACATCAACTACAATTCAACGATCAATTATTCTACAGTGATATTATCAGAACAAGCAACAATTGCTAAATATCATCATTTGACATTTAATACATTGACTTTGATGCTTGGTGATTACAAGGTTAATGTGAATTTTGATCTTTAATATAATAACTGGCAATAAATGTGAGCCTTGCCACAATGAGCACATCTGTGAATGAATGAAATTGATTAAGCATATATACATCTGCATCACTGACAGATTTCCAAAGCACAGGGTGCAATCTTGTTTATTTAAGATTAAATATGGATGCAGACCTAAAAGTGGGAGGTAATTCTGTTTGGGGACAGGATGGCTTTTCTCACATGGTTGCATTCTTCTCAGCTCCTTTCATATATGTACGTGGATGAATCACCATGTTTTATGTACAGGCAGGCAGGAAGATCTGCTCTCTTCCAGGACTTTCCGGGCTGTAGCTTCTGAGTGCATTATTTAAAAGGCACCCAAACTGCACTTCAGTCTCTGCAACCCAGGATTATCACCCTCAGCTACCCTTGTGAGGTTGCAGGCAAGGCAAAAAGTTGCACCGCATTTGGTAAAACTTTCCTAGAGGTTCTTCTGAAGGCTAGCTAAGAGAGAGGGTTAGTTCTTTGCCATATGATAGCAATGAGAGGCCATTCTGACCGATGAAAGCAGCCTGGGCAGAAGTGGCTGCAAAGGTCAGCACCCATGAGTAGCTCCAGAGAACTAGGCTGTAGTGTTGCAAGGAGACGAATTGTCTGCTGCATTCTCCCAAGGTATGGAAACCTGTCCACTCAGTTCTTCTTACTCTTTTTACCACTGCAGAGGAAACCCCACACAAGATTGGGTACAAAGCATCTCCATCAGATACCTTGATGTTAATTTAATTGTAACTACTGAAGTAGCCCTACATGTTACGCAGTGATGCTTCCTCCCCCACAGTTTCATACTTCAAACAAAAGTAGCTTCAACACTCGGCTCACGCACCAACAGCTCACTGATCTTCACAACTAGGAGAACATATGCATTGTTTCTCACCGAAGACTTACGTGGGACAAAGACTTGACCAGAAAAGAGAGCTTTGGGATGAGCCCCTCCGAACTCTCAGGCACATGCATCATAGAATTTATTGCTTCTTCAAAGCATGGAACCACCTTTCATTCCGAACCATATAACACCAACATTCCTCAAATGTTTCTTAAAAGTATCACACAGACAATGAGATTTGATGATTGATGTCTCCACTGCATCCGTCAACACAGGCAAAGGTCTCAAGTACCCAAGCTAATGTCACTTGATGGATCTTTACTTCTAAAGGAGAAGAATTGAGCTTACTGTGTGTGTGTAAAGTGGCCAGATGGTTGGGAACGAGAGGAGTTGGAGGAAACACTCAACAAAGGCTCCAGGACCCCATCAAGAAGCAAGTTGCCAAGCTGGCTGGAGTAAAAGGGGAACATGCCAGTGTTGAAGGGGTGCTTGGATAGTTGAAACCACCTAATCTGAGAGCCTCCAAATCTATTACTCCACTTCTGGACATCAAGCACTCATGTTTATAAAACCTTGATTAAGGGTGGCAGCTTGTGCCATTAAAAAAAAGTATTTTTTTCTCACGCAGCCTCCAGATCCCACACTCAACCTAGTACCAAATAAAAACACAAAAGAGCTCCAGGGCTATCTCTACCAGCCACTTGAATCACTGCTCTGAAAAGCAACTGTATGTGTCTCAGACGATGTGCCATTGAGGGCCTTTTCCCCACCAGTGCAGTGCCATTCACCTCAGTGGACAATCTCTCCAGAGAAGGCTTGAGCTCATGTCAGTGCTGTGCTCACCAGAACGTGGTCCCATAGCCAAGGTTTCCAACGCCAAGAGGCTTGCTGAAGTACAGGCCCCTGCTGACCCCAGTAAAAGTAATGAACTGGAGTAGACCTCTGAAGAGCTGATGGAGAAAACAAGCAGGGAAATGTCTGTAGAGGTGCCAAAGACCATGCACTGACTGTAATGAAGGACTGAAGAGCTGGGCCAAGTTCTATCTGCTGTTGTGGTTCCAGCGTATGTGCATGGATGCAGGGGGAGTCTTTCTTCATTTCTCAAGCCTTGGATGCATTCAATTATTGGCTCTATGAGAGGGGGTCAAGGGTCTTCGACTTCCCTCCAGTTCCCCTGTCACCTCAAGGGATGAGGGAAGTCAGACTAATGGGGCAGGGGGGAGAAAGAGTGTCATCTTGGGATACTCCATGGTGCCCTTTTGCAGCACCTATGTTCTCTTCAGGGTCCTAAATGCCTCCATAAGGTCAGGCTATGGAGGTTGAGCCTGTACCGGTCCAGGGATACCCCACCCCAGCAGGGCAGAGACCTCCAGGCCACAGACCACCAGAGGATACCTGCCAATGTCATCAGTGGCAAACTGGCAAAGCAGTGAGCAGTCTTTCAGAAGCTCCACTACAACTGCCAAGGTGAAATGAAAGATTAAAGAACATTGAAGTCAATTTGGGTGTAAGGGTGTCATCCTTCTGTATGAACTGGCGCTTTACACAAATATAGTCATTTTTCACACAGCATTGTGATCTCTTTCAATCTGATGAGGGTTCTGATTATTTGTTTTGCTTGCAGATTACCTTGAAAGGCACTTTTGTACTACGCGCACGCATGTGCATCATGTTGAGCAGTTAAAAGAGTGCTGTTGAGGCTGTCAATCTCTGCTGCCCGCCAGGGAGGAATGAAACCTTTGGATATTGGGAGCATAAGTGAGATATTAGGGTTTCTGAAGTCAATCAGCATAGATTAGCCGCTCTATGTCTCCTCTGTTGTAGGTGAATGCCCCTTGAAAATGGAAGTTTGAGCCATGTAAGCACTGTTCCCTCATAATCCTCTGTTTGTTCGTGATGATGCTTTGGTTTTGAAATGGAATAACATGTTTTTGGTGCAAAGGGAAAAATAAAGTTATGCTAAGCAAAGTGCTATAACAATCTGAAGGAAATATTCCCTTTAGGGCAGAAATCCCTCTGCGCCACAATTGTCTCATCATTCCGAAGGTCCACATACCTCAATGTAAAATCTAGCCTCAATCTTTACTTTGAGTCAATCGTTGACTGCATGGAAAGCAGTCTGACTCTTGGCATTTGGTATCCCCTGTGATATAGCCCTGCAACTTTGGAATCTCCAGCTTGCATTACGGTTTTGTCCCATGACCTTAACCTTTAGATACTTGGGCCTGTGAATGCTCCTGTGTGGCTGCACATAGCATAAGCCTTCACACCAGCATCACCACTATTGATGAGTCTTTAGTGCCCTTTTTCTCAGTTAGATGGAGCACAGCACGTGGTTGGAATGTTGGTGTTAGGAGTTGATGGAGCTCCTTCACCTTTTTATTCAGCAATGAGTCTTTCCTGTCAGCATTTAGGTCTTAACTGAGTGCACGACAGTATTTTTCAGTTCCTGTTTCTATATTCCAATTGGGAGAAAGACTGCGGTTAATTTCTAATTTGATTTGTTCAGCCTTCACAGCTATGCTTCACTACACCTCCCCTCTCTCCTTCCCTAGTATTATAGATGGCCTTCTCCTTTCTTCTCACATAATCAATTTCACCTGTGACTATCACAGTCTAAGGATAAGTCTAGGATTGAGATGAAAATATTCTTCACCCAGAGTGTGGAATTCTCTGCCACAGAAATCGGTCGAGAGCAAAACATTGAATCTTTTCAAGAAGGAGATGCGTATAGTTTTTTGGGCTAAAGGGATCAAAGGTTTTTGGGAGAAAGCAGGAGGAGGGTACTGAGTTGGATGATCAGCCATGATCACGTTGAATGGTGGAGCTGGCTTGAAGGCCTGAATGGTCTACTATTGCTCTTATTTTCTTTTGTTTCTATGTGATGCCTTGACACTCTCCTTTTCGGTTCAAATCCCTCCATTGGGAGGGCTTCTCATCCCCATCCTCTGCCTGTAACGACGCACTACAGTCCTTCAGTCCTGGCCTTGTGCATTTGCTACTCTTTTGCTTCACTATTGATAGTCATGCATTTAGTCTTGCAGACCCTGAGCTCTGTCCCTAAATCATCATCTATATTTTTTACCTGTCTCATCCTTAAGATACCTTTTTGAAGTCTATCTCTTTGAGCAAGCTTTTGACTGTCATTTCTATCATCCCTGTTTGGCTCGATGTCCACCTCTGCCTGATGACACTCCTGTGTGAAGCACCTTCAGCGTTTTCCTATATTAAAGATGTTATCTAGAAGTAAAAACAGAATTGCTGGAGAAACTCAGCAAGTCTGGCAGCATCTGTGGCAAGAAAGTAGTGTTAACATTTTGAGTCCAGTAACCCTTCAGAACTGAGGTTCCGAACTCCAGTTCTGAAGAAGGGTCACTGGACTCGAAACGTTAACTCTGCTTTCTGACAGACCTGCTGAGTTTCTCCAGCAATTCAGTTTTTGTTTCAGATTTCCGGCATCTGTGGTTTGTTGATTTTGATTTAAAAATAAGTTGTTTAAGTCCTGAAATTGTTTGCTCAAAACACCTGTGTAATATTGTAACAACCAATTTGAAGTTTTAAAAAAATCTAAATGTTGTTTCAGAAGTTAAATTGCAGTTCAACCTGTTTTTTTTTAATGTAGCTTATTGATTGATGCTCTGATTATACCTGGTGAAACTGCATACTTTTCCTGTTTTCATGACTGCATTAGGAGTATTCCAAGATTAGATTTGGTATGACACTTGATCATGAGGCAGGAAATGAAAAGAATATTTTGTTTAGAAATTATTTTGCAAGGGTTTCTGCTCAAGATTTTTCCTCTCTTTTCTTGGTAGTTTGCTTTCTGCTTTATTGCTCTCTAGTGTTTGTTATTTAATACCACCTTGATAGAGGCTCCACCTGCAAGTTAGACTTTGTATATTTTGCAGCTTATTTCTTCTTCCAGTTTCTGGTCTGAAAGATAAAGTAATAGTAACTAATGGACTAAAGTTGATTAGTTAATTAATGTCTGTGCTTTATAGCAACAAAGGCTGCAAAAGATGAAACAGAGGGCCAAGTCTGCTTCAAACTCTGATCAACAAACAAGGTGAGATCTTTTTCATATTAAAGTTCTCAGTTATTTTTTAAATGCAGAAGCTCCAACTATATTTGCCATTAACAGATATTGTAAACTATTATCATCTAATTTTTGTAAAATGGGGATTAAGAATTATCTGTAGTACTTGCCATGAATTCTAGTTATTTCTTTTGGAAGATTGTTTCCCCTAAGACGTTGAAATGGCAAAATATATGGGAGTTTAAAAAGTATCAAAAGGTAGCTTGCGTGCATATTTCCCCAGCTAAGAACTTGACTGGTCCAGTTAACGACTGAACCATACAACAATCAATGAGCTAAGTTGGCCAGTGGCAGTAATTGACATCAGTGTGCTTTAAGGAAGAAAAATATCAGTTCTTTCCTGGTTCTGGAGCGGCATGGTGGCTCAGTGGTTAGCACTGCTGCCTCAGTGCCAGGGACCCGGGTTCAATTCCACCCTCGGGCAACTGTCTGTGTGGAGTGTGCACATTCTTCCCGTGTCTGCGTGGGTTTCTTCCAGGTGCTCTGGTTTCCTCCCACAGTCCAAAGATGTGCAGGTTAGGGTGGATTGGCCATGCTAAATTGCCCATAGTGTTCAGGGATGTGTAGATATAGGTGGGTTATAGGGGGATGGGTCTGGGTGGGATGCTCTGAGGGTCGGTGTGGACTTGTTGGGCCGAAGGGCCTGTTTCCACACTGCAGGGATTCAATGATATCTATGTTTGGTATCTTTGTAATGCATTCAGTGGTCAAGTAACTTGCCTATAAATACCTAATTTTGTAATTTAAGCTTTCACTTCGAAGTTGTTGCAAAAGAGTGCTGCATGTTTGTAGGTCATATATAATTTTGAATAAATACAGGCCCATCTGTGCTACTTCAGTGGGTGAAAAAACAGTTCTTGCTTCTTGAACAGTAGTGAATTTGCCCAGTGTTCCTCCTAATCACCTCTATTCAAGATATAGCCTAATTTCTGCAACCTTTCCAAAAGTTAACTCTCAACACTGGCATTGTTGTGGTAATCCTGTGTTAGATCCTCTCCAAGTCTTCTGTATTCTTGCTGAGGGCGATGCCTAGAACTGAACACACTTGTTCTAAATAGAGTCTAGCCAAAGCTCTTTAAAGCCTTAACATTGCTTCCACCCCTTAACCGAATACAAATCCATTATCCTTTTAAATTATTTTTGTTCCTGTCCTGTAGCTTTGTGTTTTCTGTCCTTGGATCTCAAATTTCTTTCCACTCACAGCTCTTAACATTCACCGTTTCGAAACTATTCACATTACCTTTTTGTCTAAAGTGGATGATCTCACATTTTTATACATTGTGTTCCATCTGCTACAGTTTTGCCCACTCATTTAATCAATGTTCCTATACAATCTTCTGCTCCCATTTACATTATATGTACTATGTTGCCTTTTTGATGTTGGCAGAAAACTCTATCAGTTTCTCTGTTCCCTCATTTATATTGAAAAGTCAATTCCCAGCACAGTTCCTTGGGAAACACCGCTGGTCACATCCTGCTAATTTGAGTCCATGCCTGTTATCCCTACTTCTATCTCCAAATCAAGATAATGCGTTGCCCCAAATTCCATATGCCCTATTTTTTGCTGGGTTTATTTTTGTGAACCTTGTTGAATGGCTTCTGGAAGTCCATATAAATTTGATACCACTTATATAATCTGTTTGTTACCTCGCTGAAGTTTTGAGTTGGTTTGTTCAAATTGATTTGCCTTTTACAAATATAAATGACTTTGTACAATGAGTTATTTGTCCAAATGTTCAGTCATTCTATCGCAAAAAACACATTCAAGTTACTTTCTCTCAACTGACTTTAGACCAATAGGCTTGCTTACTTTTAGAAGTGTGAGGTGGAAGCTATTGACTCCTAGAGATCTGTCTGCCTTTAATCTCATTGCTTATCTATTACCGCTTATTAATTTTTTATATTGAATTCAGATAGTTCCTTACCCTAATTTATTTTTAGTTTTATATCTCTGACTTCATCCTCACAAAGAGAATAACAGTGACATACTACAAACCATAGTGGATATTTTGTAATTCTGCCATTTGCTGATTGTGAAAAATCCAATAATTTTCTTAAGGTAATTATTTGTTTCTTTTTGGTAGATGTTAATTTACATTTCTGGAAAGTACATACGTGATATCAAGTATGTACAATTTAAAGCTTTAACGAAATCTGTGGCGACATAATCTGCTGACTGTTGCTGTCTCATTTCACAAACAAAGAAATAACCTGATGTCAGGAAATGATCCAAATCGTCATTCTGCCAAGAAAGCACAAATATTTGTTTGGTTTTTAAGATAGCTTTGGGTGGAATTTACTGTTATGTCAAAATTTCTGTCCGTTGGGAAGCACCCACTGTGATTTAATGAGGTTGGGATATCAAATAATTTGTGATCCACTAATTAGTGTTTGACGTAACTCACTTTTTCCACTACGACCTATTTCCTTGGATGGTCACTTCCTTGCCCATCCACTCTTACCTCTAATAACAAATGTATTGAGTTCATAGAGGTGTCAACGCCTGAGATAACAACCATCTGTTCTGTCAGCTTGGCTGTTTCTCCTAACCTTAATGAATGAGTCAAATTGCCCAAACCTTCAACTACCAACTTTCATTCTACTTTCTCTCCTATTTCTACTCTTCTGTGTCCCTTCCTTTAAGCTTAACCATATAATCAGTCTTCTGCTTTCACCATCCCATTTTCATGTAGTGCTGACCATCTTCCCTTGAGTTGTCTAAATGGCTATTTTTGAGGACTAAAGGGAGAAAATCTTTTAAGAAAATGACAAGTATCTGTATCATGTGAATATCCTTACCTTACGTTTCAGAAATGCATGAAGTATGTTAGAGAATGTAAATTCAATTTGATGTATGTTTTCTATATTTGTGTATTTGTTCCTAAATTCATACTCGCTACGTAGAAAGTTTAACACTAACTCCATTTTTGCCTACATTTTAAAATGAGTAAACTCAACTCTATAATTTAAGATTGCCTTTAATATTACTGTACCATGTGTTGCATTAATAACCTATTTATTCAAGATCAACTTATAGCCTGGTTATCACTTTATTCCCAAGTTGAATTTATAATACACTGATATTTTACATTTTAGTACCAACATAATATCATAAGTTTAATTAAATATTTACAATGTATTTGGACCTCAATGCATTGGAAAGTTGAATACTGCAGCCTGAATTTTAAATTTATCAGCGGGCACCATCAATTGAAGAGTCAATTTTACAAATATACATCACTGCAAGATAGTATCGCGGTTCAGAACCTACAATTAAGTTTATATTTAACAGGTATTATAAACTACTACATAGTTTCATGTTTCTCTCTTCAATGTTAATCATGGGGAGCATGCCCATATTTTTCAAATTTGCTTTAGAGGCTGGCATGGCTTCCCGGTGGAAGCAATTATTCACAATCTTCAGATGTACATAAGACATAGGAGCAGAAGTAGGCCATTTGCCCATCAGTTCTGCTGCAGCATTCAATAATATCATAGCTGATTTGATAATCCTCAATTCCACTTTCGTGCTTTCCCCTGTAACCGTTAATTCCTTTGCTGATTAAACCGTAGCCTTGAAAATGCTTAATGACCCAGTGTCAACAGCTCTCTGCAGCAACATGTTCCACAGATTCACTGTCCCTGAGATTATGTCCTTGACTCTCCCACAAGGGGAAACAACCTCTCTGAATCTAACCTGTCAAGCCCCTAAGAATATTCTGTTAAATAAGGTCATCTCTCATTCTTCTAAACTCCATTGAATATCAGCCCAACGTATTCAATCTCTCCTTGTAAGGCAGTCCCTCCATACCATGTGTTAGCCTAGTGAGCCTTGTCTGGGTTGCCTCCAATGCCAGTATACCTTTCCTTAGACAAAGGGACCTTTTCAGTGTTCCAGTCATGATCTGACTAGTGACTTGTACAGTTTTAGTAAGACTTACCTGTTTAGCAATTATCTGTGAACAGGCACTTCAGTGGACATAACTAAATGGATTGTTTTACTTTTCTACTCTGTTCTGTGTAGTGAGACAGGAGAAGAAGACTTTGAATCATATTTACAACATGCAAAATCTCAATCTGAAGCTTTTAGGAACCAACACAGTAAGTTTTTTTTTTGGAAAATAAGGATACAGGCACTTGTGAATGGGTTCTGTTCTGGAGTCCGTTTGCAAGCCAATTTGTTTGCAAGTCAGAACTCTGGAAAGCAGCATAAGTGTAGGAAATGTTTATATATCGGGTCTTTAAATTTTAAAACCATGTATGAGATCGTGCTCATAAGTATGAGCATTCATAAGTCAGATGTTCGTAAGTCAGGGACCCCTTGTATATTTTCTGCCAAATGATATTTGCCTCATATATTTAATAAAATATATGAATCACTGTTTTAGCAACATTAATTGAATGTGCTGATTGGGTGTTGTGCTAGAATAAGGGCATAATGCCCTTATTCATCTCAATCAGATACTTGGAATAAGAATGGCATAGGCTCCTCTGTTGTTACCCTGAGACGTTGTTGTGAATCTTCTTACTGAAACAGTGAAATCATGTACTGAAGCTGCTCCCACAATGGTGTTAAATGGAGAATTCCAGGATATTAACCCGAATATATTGATCAAACAATGATATAGGTCCATGTCAGAATGGTATGTACTTGCAGTAAAAATTTATTGGTGACCACTCATGATTTATCACAGTACCTTCAATACATAGACTTAATCTTTTTCAGTTAAACTGTTAATTGTTTTTGTTTCTGGGTGTATGGCAGAATTTCTGGCTCTGATCAGGGATTGCAGTTATGTAGCTAGTTCAAAAGTCCAGAGTGTGCTTTCTCTTATTTAGTTTCATATCATTGCAAAGTTTTTATTACTTCCTGCTGAATCGTATGCATTGCCATCTATAATCTACTTGTGTGTATAATCCCTCAATTATTAATAACAGTACCTTGCTTGTTGGCACAGGGATCATATTCATAATTTCAACAGAAAATAGGAGCAGAAGTAGACTATTCAGTACATCAAGCTTGCTCTGCCATTGAAAATGATGATGGGTGACATAATTTCAGTCACTTTTTTGTCATTGTGTTACTTTACCCACCTCTCAAAACTTTCCGTCGTGCTTATTCTTGGACAAACCTGCAAAATGCTATTCCTAACCACAGACTTAAAATTTTCATACTGAATTCCTTCACCTTTTCCAAATATCACAAATCTCTACTTACCTTTCTAAGGCTCTCAAATGTGTAATTACTATGAACGTTATTGCCTTATTCTCCCATCACAATTTATGCTGCGGTTAAAATCATCAGTGATATTCTGCCTGTTTTTTTTTCCAAAGTGGCAATGTATTTCATCCTCCTCTACCTTTCTGCAGTCTTTAATATAATCAATCACTCCATTATCCCAAACCTCTCCTGCATATTTTCAGTTTCACATGTTCTCCAACTCCCAAACTACCTTCTTGTACGTACAATTTCTGTTCACTTTGCTTCCTCCTCGTCACTCAATTTCCACGAGCTTTTTGCATCTCCGTATATTGCTTTAAAAATTTTTGTTTGCAAATCTTTGTGATTGTTCTGCAACCTCTTGCAGCTCAAAATCACTGCTTTTAACTTTTTGCACTGATTTATGTCTATGTGCCTCCTTTCAATCCCTGATTTTTATTTGGAATATTCATGTCGAAGCTTTTTATACCTGTGGAATTAGTTTATTGAATCTCTCTGCTTTGCTGTATTGCTTTCCATTTTCCAAAACATCCATAAAAAGGAATGTCTTGGACCTTGTGTTTAACCATCTCCCCAAAATTATTTCCCCTTTTTTCCCATGAAAAAGCACTGTGCCTCTGTTAAGTGTTATGCAAATAAGTGATTGAGGAGCAAAACCAGAAATTGTAGAAACAGAGTTCTAAAGAAGCGTCACTGCACCTGAAACATTAACTCTGATTTCTCTCCACAGATGCTGCCAGACCTGCTGAGATTTTCCAGGAATTTCTGTTTCAGATTTTCAGCATCTGCAGTTCTTTTGGTTTTGAGAGATTGAAGGGACCTGCTCTATTCTTTGTAGTGTAGAAGAATGAAGAAATCTCAAACTTGTGTAGACCTCTGAGAAATTTCTATAATGTAGGTACAGAATGGCTGTGAGGTCTAAAACTTTGGGGGGAGGGGATCTGTGTTGGAACAAAAGGCAAGTCATTTAAGACCAAGGTGAGAGGGGACTTGTTCTCTCAGGGTGGAAAATCTTTGAAAATATCAACTTCGGGGAACTGTAGAAACTCAAGCATTCAGTAAGTTCGAGAGAGACTGATATGGGGATGCTACAGGAATGTGGCTTTGAGGTAGTTGGTTAAGAATGGTGGAACAGACTCGAGGGGATGAATGGCCTGTGCCTATTTTCCTAAATTGTTCAAGGGGAGTAAGGATTGGAAAGCCATCAAGTTGACTTGGACACATTACCAGTCTTTCCAAGTCCTAAGTAACTGCGATGGTTTCTACTACTGGTGCTGTGGTTTTAAAGGTTAGTGCTTGCAAGTTTAGCGGTTATTTATGAGAAAATCTGTCTCTCCAAATACACTTACATACAAAATTAAACCAATCTGATATTTATGGAATACCATAAATCACTTACAGACTGCTACATACATCAGTTAAACAGTTTTTAAGATGTTTGAATGCTTTTTGAAGCTGTACAGAGATTTGAGTGCCTTCTGAGGATGGATAACAAATCCTGTCATTGTGCCAGCAACACCCATCTTATGAACAAATACAAAAATAAATTGACCCAGCAAACTGATTTTAGAACTAATTTGTACAATTCCAATGCCCTTTTCAGTTGAAAAAGTCTAGAGTAAAATATGATTTCACCAGTAATTTACTGATTAATTGCAATAGAATCATTTGCATGATACAAGGAATTATTCAGCTATCTACTGAAGCAGTGCAAGAAAGAAAAATAAGATGCATTAATTTAAAAAGGCCATCACTGCAAATATCAACAATTTTGACAACTTGGCAATACGTACACACGAGGGTATGAGATTCAGAACATGAGGTCAAAAGCATCAAGTGTGATATCAAAACTGCAAACAGAATGGCTTAATCTCAGACTGTTGCCACGGACAAGGATGGGGTTTGGAGTGCATACAAAAAACAATGGCTGCACTCTTCCCAATATTTAGTAGAAGGAAATTTTCCCTCATCCAGTCCTGCATGTTAGTAAAGCAGTCTAATAGTTTAGCAACTGTGAAGAAGTAAGAGAGTTGGTGAAGTAGAGCTGGAGGTATCTCTGTACATATGGAAATTAGTATTACAATTTCAGATCATGTTGCCGAGTGGCAGTATGATTCAAAACCCCCCCCTTTAAACTGGAGAATATTTTAGAAGCATAGTACTCAGTGTTGTAGGGAAATATGGCAAATACTTTGTTTTTGTAGGATATGGCCAGGAATAATGAGATTCTTGCCTGGCTAATCTCTGTTGATCATGATGTTTGAAGGATAACTTCCGTGTCCAATCCCCTGCAGGTTTTCAGATACTGATGTGGGATTTTTTTTTCATCCATCGGAGGGGTATGGCTTAACAACTTATTTGAAAAATTGCACCTCCAAGAATGCAGTGCTCCATCACTGCAATACAATAATGTCAGCTAGGTTTCAAACATTCAAAGCTCTGGATTGGGAGTTGAACCCACGGACTCATTGACAAAATTGCTACCATTGAGCAGAGCTGACTATGGAAGCTAGTCAGTTAATATTATATAACGTTGACACAAAATATTGTAAATGGAGTAAGTGTGACTACTTCTTGTAACCCCTCCCTCGCTTCCTTTTCATCTGAATTCAAGTAGGTTGTAAAATGTATTGCTAAGTCAATTTAAATGCTTTCTCTTTTTCCCTACCTGGAGTGATGTGGGCAATGGCAAGAAATTTGGGTAAATAGTGATTACAAGAAAAATATGATCTTGGAGAGAGAATAACTTGCCTTTTTTTTTCTTTTAAGCTTTAAACAGTGACTTCAGAATCTTGCTATTTAAGAGCAACTACCTTATTTTGATGCATTTGCATTTTGTTACCAGCCCAACTTGCTTCATGGCTGTGCAATTTCTCATTTCCTTCTCTGAGAAACTAAACAACGCAAATTCCCGACTTGTAAATCTGGGCATGTTACATGGCAGCTGCAGCTTGCTGAATGCTTGTCCCAGTCTTCATCCAGTTCTGTCTTCGCTATAATGCCCTTCCTGATTCATGGGCACCATCCTCCTCCATGCTTCAACTGTGCAGGTCGGAATGGGCAAACCACCAGCCTCACCAGGTCATCATGTCTGCTATCACTCAAACTCTCAAGCCTCTTCACGATTTTATTTTGGAGCTCAGGGGCACCTGGGACTTGATTGTGACTGCCAGTTTGCTTTTCGTAAAGGATGTATACACATCTCTGGTATCTAAATCAAATGCACTTTATGCTCGATTTCTTAGTATTCACTCATCTTGCCATTTATTTGCAGGTTTCCCGCCTCTGGATTGCATTGCTTTTTAGTGCATGGTATCTTCCATGCCAAATGTCTCAATGTCTTGCATTGCTTTTTAATGCAGCGGGACAGGCAAGCAACTTGTCACAGTAGGAAGCCCTGAACATGTCACTATATGGCGTCATGCTACATTTATGTGCTAACAGTTTACTGCACTGCATATGCTTCAGGCAAATGACCACATCTGAAAGTCAAAGGAGATCAGGAGATGCTGCCACGATCATTTAAGGGGATTGTTCAAATCTCCTCTGGGGTTTCATCACCACTAGGCATTTGGGTTACCAGAATCCAGGGATCCTTATCCTGGCAGTCTGGTGATTGGGACATGGTCAGTCATGGACCAAGTACAACCCATATGGGGATTACAGGCACGTGAGTGTGTGCGCTGTGGAGACATCAGTCTGAGGACTGGCGAATCTTTCCTGCAATGAGACTTAAGTATGATACAAGTAGACACGAGAAGTTGGTGATAATGCAGGAACAGGAGATTTGAAGTGTCCCACGTGGGGGAATAGTAGACACAGGGCAGGGAATGTTAGTAGTTTGGGAGAATGAAGTGGGTCAGGTTGAGTGAGCATGATG